GCGGAAGCCTAGTGAGGCTCGAGAGGAGCAACCTGTCATACAAAAGCCAATATTTCTATTTTATAGCAAGCAGAAGATAAATTTCAGTATAAAAGTCAGGTTATAATAGAGAGGAGGGAACTCCATCACACTCACCAGACCAATAAAGTGCAACAAACAATGAAGAGAGGAAATGTGATTAGCTCATTTCAACATCTTTAAATCCTTGAAAAGCCGATTAAAAAACGCTGCAGGTGAAACTGAGAAAGAACCAATCCCAAAGTTCGAACAGCAACAACATCCAAGATCGATTTCTTCTTTCTTCTAGAGCATCCAGCTCCAGCCTCACGCCTCTGTCCTCACTGTCCGACTGTCTTCCAGAGCTGTGTGTGCTTTTTTCCCCCCCTCTGCAGAAGCAGGCAAGTTGGACAATGAGTGGCAGAACAGATGGACCCAACAATGTCAGCCATTCCCTCGTTTAGAGTGGCTGCTTCTAACCAATCGGAGGAGCAGCAGCCCTACAATGAGGTGCAGAGGCAAGAGGCGGGGGAGGAGGGGAGTGGCTGTGGGCAGATGTCTGCAACACCCAGTTTCCCCAAGGCACGCGTACTCGACGTGCACCGGCACACACACACGCACGCCAACTCACACACTCCACGGCCTGAAAGGGCTTCCCCTGTGTGGCCGATGAATCAACGAGGGGTGGGAGGCTGAACAATGGAGCTACACAATGGGAGGCTGGGGAGGGCAGCTGCAGTGTGAGGCCTGGTGCTATTACGGCCCCGGGCAGCAATGGAGAACACCTGGCTACAGAGCGCCACAGTCACTCTCCTCTCTTTGTCTCGAGCTGTGGGGAGGGTGGCGGTGGTGGTGACAGGAGGGGTTTCAACTGAAAGAAAAGCTGAAGGCTGGCTGAAAGACTGCTGTGGCCTTTAAGAGAGTGCAAGAGGAAAGAGAAGAGTGTGGCTGCGCTGAAAGAGAAAAAAAGACAAGTGTGTGGGGGGCGAGAGACATCAAAAAGTTTTATGTCCCAGTGAGTATGAGGAGGGGACCTGCTCAGCATTGTTGTGGCACACTTAAGGCCGATGACTCAGGAGCACAAATCTTTGCCTTTTTGTCTTTTATATGATTATGTAGCACGTGTAGAGGATCCCGTTTGTTAAAGAAAAGCAACATACTTCAACACCCAAAATGAGACAAGAACTTGCCTACGTTTTCTTGTACACTGGTATAAATGTATTTCAATTTCAGTTATATAGCATCAAATTCAACAATTCAATCAACAGTTGCTTCAAGCCACTTTATATTGTAAGGTAAAGACCCTACATTTAAATACTGAACAACAAAAAAAAGCTTATCTCATACACGCCCATCCCGAAATAACGTTAGCCAAACAAACTCATCTCAACCGAAAAACCATCCAACGCTGGATAAACTTAACTTGAAAAAGCTGCTACTTAATACACACTAATAGTAGTAAATAAGACAGAAACCTCCATGTATCTACAAATCTTAAATTAACGAATTAAATTTTTTTTTTAAACCAAATCAATGGCTACCTTTAATTGTTTTAAATTTTTAAAAAAAGGAAATATTGACAAAGTTTAACTTTGTGAGAAAAAGTGATAAATCGCAATAAAGTTTATCAATATCGCAAAAAATCCCAATAATATTGTATCAGTGTCTGATGAGTCCCACCTCTATCAAACAGGCAGAATGAAGAGCAGAGAACAATACACTGTAGTCTAGTACCATGCACTTGAATATGGATACCCAGCTGACCAAAGTGACACACAGACTGGACAGAGGTGAAAGTAGCAGATGCTTATAACAACAGTGTAAATTAATATGCCAAATATGCCAAAGATGAACATGGTGCAGCTTAATATGTGAGCTGTTTATCTAGGACACTTTTTTTTTAAAAATTGAATCAAATGACTCTTCATCCGAGCCAAGTAGCGCAACTCAAATCCCACAGCTGATCCCTGTGTATTAAAATGATGAAATAAAAGTAAGGTGGACACACACAGTTGCTCCTTCACCTCCAAATCCGAAGCTTTTGTCTCCATTTTCTGCAGACTCTATAGCAACTGCATGTTTTTGTTGCTCCTCAGGGACTCTTGACATTGTCTAACTGCACATAATCAGGTACTGCTGTAACATGAGTGCTGCATGGCACCAAAGCAAGCCAGGGGAGGAAAAAAAAAAAAAATCAAACGTCTCAGTGTCACTATTGATCTTTTTTTTTGTCCCCTCTGGTCACCAACACAGAGTACTGACAGCAAAATAAATAAATAAATAACACTGTCGATATGTAATACCGTGGGAGGTGACAAGGCATGTCCACTAGTCATGTCAACCTAATAGAGACAGCCAGTGGTTTGGGTTTCACAGAAACTTTTAAGTATTTTTCTTAAAACGACTTACAACGGCCAAGACCGAGCATAAATGATTAAATAAATTACTCCACGAGACAAATGTTAAATATGAAATGAAAATACGGTTGTGATTTATGTGACTGAAAAAAAATACTGATATTCTGCAGCACAAAATTTATGTGACACTAATGACTCATATTAGTGATTAAGAAGAGGGCCAATGTTTAAAAAAAAAAATGTTGTTAAAACAGCACTTGGGGGGATAGATTAGGGAGCAGGTGAACATTCATTATCCAAATTCAGTTTAGCAGCAGGTGTAGTGGGGTGTTCCCAATATGCAAGGAAAGACTGACCCAGGAAACCTGAGGGACGTGGGTGATCCCTGCCATCTGAAAAGCTACTGCAGCACTAGTTTTTGAATAAGATAGGAAGAGTCAGAACAGTGCACCTGGATCATTTATGGGAAAACAGGAATTCTAGCATTCATGAGAAGGCCGTCGCTTGGGTGAGCTGCCAAAACAACTTCCAGGACTTAAAGGATGTGCTACTCACATGTTGCCTCCTGACAGGACACCTTTATAGGTCTTAGTGGTTAAGAATTGTTTTGCTAGCTTAATGGGAACTTACATAAAGCCTGCCTGGTTTTATTCAAGATCTGTGCTCCAAAACAGCAAATATTTCACACTTTTGCATCAAAAATAACAAAATCAACTGCACTTTACAATCAAAGTAGTTGTATAATTGGCTATAATTGGTACGCTGGTATAAAATTAATACGTAATCATTGCAGGTTTAATTGAATTATTTGCAGTGTTCACTTTGGATTCTTCGTAGGGGCCAACACAGCACTCGGGCTAATGAGCAGCCAAGCTGCAGCAGCCACACCCGTGGAAACTGAGTACGATCCAGAGGACAACGCATCTGCCAACGGAAAAATTAATTTAAAGAGATAAGGCTGAAATATCCAGCTGCATTTATCTTGGCAGCAACAAGTAGCAGCATGTATTTAGAGGCAACAGAAAGCGGAGTGGTGTCGGTGTGTGTGCTCAGCCAATTTGCCAACTAAAATAAGTGTTCCCCCAGCTTTAGTGGGCTCAACAAGAAAACAAATGCCTGATTAAATAAGAATATGCTCCTAGTCAGCTCTCAGAGTCAGACGAGGGTGCTGAGGAGAGATGCATACAACAGCTGACCGACTGCACAGCTCCCAAATGCTCTAACAGAGACAGGAGGAGCTCTCTGTGGGGGCCATCTGTCCTTACAAACAGGTGTGCACTGCTCCCAACAACTGCAGCAGCAGCAGGACGAACGCTGAGAACCCAGCACAACAGAGCTGAGCTGCAGCGGGAGGCTTCTTCCTGTGCCAGAAATTAATTCTTGCCGGGTTTGGTCCAACCTGCTCTAGTCTTACTTCCTTATTGATAAGACTTGCAAACTATCGGGCGACGAGTCAGGGACTATTTTAATAACCACTTTAGTCATGAAAAAGTAAAATGCCTCTGGCTTTGCATGAGACACATCCCACATTTGACTGAGGTGCAATAAACAAAGTTCTCAAAACAAGCAGAAATCCAGCGATGTTCAATTCACTGTCACTTAAAAACAATAAAAAGTTAGCGATTAATCTTCTATCGTGTTTGGAAAAATGACAAATAGGGAGAAAGAAGGTGCAGTGCATCACTGTGGTCCACTTTTCCTATCCAACCGAGGTTCAGGCAACAGAAGGAGACCTTTTGCTCCTTGTAACCTCTTTCTGACCTCTGCACATCCACTCAGCACTGCCAGCACCACCAGCAGTACAGAGTAAGTTCAGGATATCATGGCAAAAATCATCACCTGTGTGTGTGTGTGTGTGTGTGTGTGTGTGTGTTTCAAATGAATACCACAGAAAAGTGAACAGAGGAAGTCTTTGTGGAGTCAGAGGGCCAAACATCACTGCTGAAGCTGCAATATTTTCCAAAAAGCAGCTAATTACCTTTCCTCTTAAACTGTGACATGTGTAGCAGCATGCACGAGGATGCTATTTGATACAGAATAGCCTTTAAACGTGACAGGGACACACTTTGAGTTTGGAAACAGGGGTGATGGTCAGAAGAAAGCAAAGTGGGCTCACTAAATAAAAGCCCCACGGGGTGTGGACAGACAGCTGTTGGGCTCGTGCCTACACCACGCCCCCCACCCCCATCCCCATCCAAAGGCTCAAAGCCTGGACTGCTACTGGTCCGACCCCTTCGCTGAACCACTATAACCAGTGTTCAGCACAGCTGTCAGTTTGCGGAGACAGGTGGGAGGGAGAGACAAGAGCGCCTCTTCTCCCTCCTGAATTCCCCAGAGAGCAGACTTGTGCTTCACTCAGGCCTTCTTCACCCCAAAACTGCCTTAATGCTCATTTCAAAAACACGCATCAGCTCCATTTTCAGCCTAAAAGGCGCGAAACCCCACAGCAGCACCCATCCCGTTGTCAGCCTGTTGAAGAGGATACAGTCAACAAACTATATTATGGATGTTTGGGAGCGCGCATGGGGCGTGCACGGTCACCGCAAACCAACACCGTCACGACCTCCCTGCAGCTCTCACCCACACCAACCTGCGGCTGCTCCGGCTAACGAGTCCGCCCTGAGGACGCTGTTGGCGGGTTCTCACCTGGTCAGAGCCGCCGCTGGAGCCGCACGACAAGCTTGGCGTTAAAACGCGCCCATCTTCATCACATACTGGCGACGCAAAACATCCGGCCGGACTGCAGCGTGACCCAGCCAAACTGCGTCAGGCTGAAGAGAGCAACGACGCGCCTTCCGCTCTACCGCTCTTTCAAAATAAAAGTAAACCAACCAACCGCCTGTTCGAGGGGAAGAAAGACAAGCAGAATTTCTTATACCAACACTTGTGTACTTTTCTTCTGTCTTATGTTTGTCTGGTATAAGATATAACAACAAACCCTACGGTTTGTTAGCAACTAACTTACCTCAAGACCCTCAACATAGCATACATTTCAAACTGAAAACCAGCCGCGTTTGAAGATTTTAACCTCTCTTAACGTAAAATAAAATCATACAATTAATAAAAACAATAATCATGATAATTTTAGGCTAAACAGGAAACTGTACCAAAAGTGTTGAGGCTCGCTTTACTAAAATTATTGCGCCATCTTGCGGTGAACGTGTATTATTAGCAAGTCCTATTTTCCTCCCTTCAAACATTATATGCGTTTAAAATCTGCTTGATAACATGTACTTTTTTAAAAATTCTGCGAAGTGCAAAATGCAGCGTTTTAAGTAGAAAATAATAAGGTGCAAGTACTTTAGTAAAGTACTCGAGTAAATCTGGAACCCCAGTTCCAAAAAGCTATCAGGCTGTGTGAAATGTGGATAAAAAGAAAATGCACCTTTTGGAAACCCCACGAGTCCGTATTTTATTCACAATGGAACATAGAAAACATCAAATGTTTGAAATGAGAAATATTTTGCATTTGGTGGCAGCACAACATCTGTAAAAAGTTGGAATGAGGCAACAAAAAGCTGGAATAGTAAGTGGTACTGAAGAGAAGCAGCATGAGGTGTAAAAAGAGCTTCTTAGAGAGGCAGTTTCTCACAAGTAAAAATGGGCAGATGTTCATTATACAAAACATTTTTCAAATTCTGAAACTGTTTCAGAATTATGTTTGTCAATGTAAAATTGTAATGATTTTGAATATCTCACTATCCGCAATACATATCATCAGATGATTCACAGAAGCTGAAGAAACCTCTGTGTAAGGAAAAAGCTGAAAATCAACTTTAGGATAATTTGTTTTAGGGTATATTTGCTTGACTGTTCAAAGCATACATCATAAAATAAAATAAAAAGAGGGTTTTTGGAAGGGTTGTGAGGAGAAACCAAAGTGGAGATGTTTGGCTATTAAAACAAAACAACCCAGCATAAATTCCTCAGGCACGGTGGTGGAGGGGTGATCATTTGGGCTTGTTTTACAGCCGCACGACCTGGGCACCTTGCCGTCACAGAGTTGACTACGAACTTCTCTGTGTACCAAAATGTGGGCATTTATCTGACAGCTAAGAGCATGTCCAAAATGTAGCCATGCAACAGGACAATGATCCCCAAGCACAGCAGTAATGCTACAACAGAACAGCAGAAAAACAAAAAGAATCAAGCTATTGCAGTGGTCCAAAGTCCAGACCTCAACCTGACTGAACAGCTGTAGCAGGACCTTAAAACCTCAGTGAGAGGCGGTCAAAATTCATCCACAACAACGTGAGAGTCTGATGACATCCCACAAAAAAAGTTATTGCATATGAAGCTTCATAGATCATTCAGTTATGTGGCTTCTGACAGTCACACGTGCACCACTTTAAAAATCAACTGATGCAGATGAGCCAGGCAAGCCTCCTCCTGTAGCTCGAAATGTAGAGTGTCATTTCCAATCCCCCCCCCAATTTAGTCCCACCTTAAACAAGCGCATGCCCAGAAAGAGCAGCAGCGTTTCTTAAACTTCTGTCTCCTTTTTATTTTATTTTCAATTTGTTGATGCAGCAGTAAATAATATTTACAGATGTTACAAAGAATGACGCAGCACTGTAAATTCCTTTTGATTTTATTCAATGAAAGAAAAAAAACCTTCAAGAAAATACAGTAATTCCCATAGTACACACAGAGAGGACATAAATTAGAGGCATGTAGAGAGACATCCGGGGGGGGACGTGTCACCTGGCAGGTAGAAAACATTAGATCCGTGCTGCCACACAGCCAGGAGCGCACACACTCACGCACACAGTGCACTAAGGAGGATGTAAAGGAAATCAGTGAAATTGACACTCTGGGCTTGGGTTATTCATAAAGTGAGCAAAAGTTGATTAATCCTGTACACAAACATCTAAATGAAAGTACAAAAAAAAGGGATAATACAAAATACAAAAGAGGAGCAGTGGAGCGGGAGAAACCATAAATATTCATATCGATGCACATCGGTTTAACAAAACAACTGCTTCTGTAAACATTTTGAACATAAAGGTGTGCATTTAAAATAAAACCACCGCAGTCACATATTTATCTGAAGGGTTACACATGATTGGAAACAACACTAATAAAAACGAAGCCAGAGTTTAAAAACACAAAAGTATGCCACATGGTTTTGGCTGTCTGGAGCGGTTTTTCACACCATCAGAACATGTGATTCATTCATTTATGTTTTTGCCTTCTTTCTTTCTACACAAACGACAAGACTGAAAGCGACTTCTGCACCTCACAGCGGGTCTTCCCCCTAAAGACAGCGAAGGCACCGCCCTTTAAAGAGTCCTATTATGAAGCTCTGTCATTCACACAGAAGCACAGCTGCAGGATGGACTCTACACTCAGCGGCGGGATGAGACTGTCTCATGTGAAGTGACAAACGAGTCTCGCCTTGTCGTTCGGGTTTCCGACGGTGAGATGGGAAGAAAGAGCACGAAATAAAGATTTTATGGGAGCTCGGTTAAAGTAGCGCGTCTCTTCAATCCAGATTGGATGTGGCATGCCTGAATGCGTCAAGAAAAAACAGAAGGAACATAAAAATAAATGAGGTCCAACATTGAGTCACACGGCTGCTTCAGACTAAAGTGTTCCTACCCTAAAATCTAAACGTCTTCACTTTTGAAGTAGTGGATTTTAGTTTTTTTTAAAGTTTTTTTGTTTTTGTTTAAATTGCTGGAAACTCCTCTAAGGCAACATTAAGTTGAAGTCTCCTTCAGAACGCAGATGATTGTAGATGTGAAAATGTCACAACAGTGCAGGTGGAGGACAATCAGCTGACCCTCCCTCCTTTCCTCTAAGTGAGATCTATACATGCTGCCCTCATTCTGCCCACTGGCCTCCATGCTACCTTAATGGCAACCTGCTAATTCACAGTTTACGCTAGCCCTACTTACAACTGATCTTAAAGGAAAAATCCACCTTAAAAACATAAAACTATTTGTATTAAAACCTCACATTTCTGGGTCTATTTTGTCGGTGTGTGTTTCTATATTTCCAGTAGAACGACAGGTTCTGCAAAGGAGACACAGATTAAAAGGAAAAGCCAGGATTTCATTACAAAATAAAAGCCCCTGAAGAAAAAAAACAAAACAAAAAGGTCAGGCTCTTGATGATAAATAGTGGATTCTTCCTTTAAAACTCATTTTTGTGTGTATTTCTGCATTCCTTATTTATGCGCAGCAAGTCACATATAAAATATACAGTGTGTTTAAAAAACAAAAACTGGGACTACCTTAGTTAATAACACCAAAGCAACATGCCGTCATAAAAAGGGCTACTTTTGTCCAACATGAGCTACAGCACAAGAGGAGGCGTGATAAAGCTGTTCTTGAAAAACCTGCGCGAGTCCGACGTTAGTATGCACCAACTCCAACATATCCAGTACCCTGTATTTAATGGATGCGTCGAGGAGGTCCCTTAAAAAAAATCTTCACTTTCAGGAGGTTAAGGAAGAGAAAACAAAGTGAAGACGAAGAAGATTTACATGTCGAGCACCGTCCAATCTGTGGAACTAAGTGTAGTCGTAGTGTTGTAGTCACACACCTGACAGGACCGGGATTAAACACAGCTACACATTCGAGCTGTGGCAACACACACACAAACACACAGTCTTCTCTGATACGGTGACGACTGTGTTTAGCGTTCTGCCCCCTCCCCCTGGACAAACACATTTTTGTCATACACTTACAAGATGCAAAGTTTTACTATGACATAAAGATATACCGTCAACAGGCAACAGATCCCGCTTCCTCAGAGGGAGAGGAGGAGAATGGGGATCGGCTCGAAGGTCAGGCAACAAGGCCGGGGGTTGGCGGGGGGAAGAAAAACCTGCAGGCGCCTCTAAATACATATCCACCCCTAGCTTCTGTTCATGATTACAGTCTAATCCGTTGTTTGGCTGCCCGAGGACATGAGAAATGGAAGCCGCCGCCTCAGAAAATGCTTCTCCAGCTTGGGCTTTAAAACGTCTTCGTCGGTCGTAGTCGCAATAGTCATCTGTTGGTCGCTGCTTAGGTAACGGTTGTCATAACGGCTGACGGCACGTCTCTACCAGCTCATGAGGGATGTGCGTCCCAGGGTCATGAAATATACTTGGCTGGCACCTCCGGCACGCACAGAGGCAAAGAAGACCTGAAATTGAAAGAATACACTGAGTGAAAAGGTGTTTGGTGGTCGTGCCAGGCTACCAACAGTAGATTAGTAATAGTAGAGTAGATGTTAAAATAAAATGTTAAAGAAATCTATGAGGTGACCTGAAGAGGGCGATGAACAAGATATTCCCTCACCGCTTCCCTCCCCTCATCTCCAACTGGTCATGGCAGATGGCCCCCCTCCCTGAGACTGCAACTGTTAAGAGTGTTTTTCCCTCCCACTGTCACCAAGTGTTTGCTCATAGGAGATCACCTGATTGTTGGGGTCTCTCTGTATTATTGCAGGGCTATTACCTCACAATATTAAGCGCCTTGAGTGTCGAGCACTTTTGCATGGGAGAGAGGGCAAATATTTCTGTGTGATTAAAGGTTCTTCAGCAGTATCACTTAAAGGATGTGCACTTATGTAACCAGCAAAACTGATTTGTTTTTCAGTTGGATTTTACAGGTTATTGGTGACATTAAAGGTGGAACAGTTTTGAAATGATTTATTGCAGTATTGTGTTTTCAACAACAAAAACCTGACATATTATTAGGGGTGTGCTCACATTTATCTCCACTGTATAGAGAGAAACAGGAGGGATGAAGAAAGGAAGGATGTTTTCACCTTGTCATTCCTCTCACAAAGGAACTTGAGTCTCTGGGCTCTCTTGTGCATGAAGACT